GAGGAGGGTAACTATATACATGTTGAATTATATGTGGTATACTTTACATGAATTGACATTTTAACAGTTTCCAAACACTTGTTCAAATAAAGCTGTTATGTTTTTGGAATTCATTGCCTCTGTAATTAATTGAACCCATTTAGGGGAAGCTTTAAAATCATTCCCACGACTTACATTTAGGGTCCACGGGTTTCCTCCTGCCCTTAGCAGGAGGTGGCGTTGTCATTGACTAGCTTTACATGTGGTAACCTCAGTCAACGGTTACCACATTTTGGCGTTGTCGGACAGGATTACTTAAAAGAAGCATGAAAATGTCCCTACTTTCAGGCTCCAGCTCTAAGCTTGACATGTCATATATGATTGGATAGAACAGTTGCAGGTCATGTTTGAGAGACAGGCACATGACTGCCAGAGAGAAGGCTCTCTTTCTTATGATCATTTGGAGGGGGAAGCAAAAACTGAATCATGATTTCGTACTTTGGTGGAGAGGGAAATCCTGATACAATTTTAGTCATTCTGAAAGAGCTGTATGGTTCCATCCTCCTCCTTTGTTAAAGCCTGCAAAAACAGTTTTTGATCGAAAACAAAGAGGGAGAGTCTTTAAAGGAATTCTCCATTCTTTGTGGGAAATGATTGAGACTATCAAACGTGCATATCCAAATAGGTTGATGGATCCAGATATTCTGGCTAGGGACCAGTTTTGTGGAGTATGTGCGGGATATGGCCTTGCGCCGAGTTAAAGAGTCTCATAAGGCAACGTCCGGAAATTTCTTTTTTATCACTGCGTCAGGAGGGAATCAGGTGGGCTGAAGAGGGTGAGAGGCCTGCAGGACATGCTCGAGCTGGCCTACATCAATGTGGGGCAGATGTAAATTTAGGTGGAGCTTGCCATGCTGTTGGGGCTGGACCCGATCTGGTTTCTTTGCAAGAACTATTTAAGAAACAGCAGTTGCAAATTGAAAGCATTATAAAAGGTCTGTCTAAGATGGAAACTGTACTTGACCAATCTGTTTCTCGTGTCAATAAGCCCAACTACCAGTTTACTGCAGATGGCCAACCCATTTGCCTCCGCTGTCGGAAGCCTGGGCATGTCCTCCGCCAGGGTCAGAGGCCACAAGCATCCAGCGTACCCAGTGACCGGCCAGAATGCAGCCCGGCTCCAGCTGCTGTAATATCGTCAGGTATGGGTTTTGCAGAAGAATCAATCGCTAATGATCACATTGTTTATGATGGTCACCCTAAGCAGGCCCCTCCCCTTGCAAACAACCTGCGACCCCTCATAGGTAAATGTCCTGTGGTAGAGGTACAGATGGGTGGTGTAAAGGTAAAGTGTTTGCTGGACACAGGTTCTATGGTCACAACCATAACAGAGTCACTCTTTAAAAAGGTGTTTCAACACTGGGATGCCCCTAAACTTAAAACATGCGGGTGGTTAGCTTTGAAGGCTGCCAACGGCCTAGAGATTCCCTATGTTGGATATGAGTTGGATATCCAGGTGTTGGGTAAAAAGATTCCAAGTCGTGGGGTCTTGGTGTTGAAAGACACTGCTTCTGCCTTACAGCAACACAATGTGCCAGGGCTTTTGGGGATGAATGTAATCACAGAATGCTACAGAGAGCTATTTGCCCAACAAGGGGACGCATTGTTTTCCTCTTTGTCTGCCTCTTTGTCTGCCATCCAGGCAGAGACAGGCTGGGGGCCAGCTCTCCGCTACTGTCACAGACTCGAGGCCTGCCCACTAGTTCCGGGGGGTAGTGTTCGTGTCCTCAGCAGGACTGGGGAGTTTATACCCGCTGGATCAGTAAAGTTTGTGCAAGTGACCTGCCCAAAAATTCCATACGCTCCGCCCACCACCATGCTTTTAGAGCCTGGGGGCTCAGATCTTGCTCCAGGCCTGCTTTTGTCCCCTTCCCTAGTGACAGTCGAAAACGGTGTTGTGCTTTGTGCCGGTGGTTAATGTGGGAGCCACCGGAGCTGCAGTCCACTTTAAACAGGTGTTGGGTACATTGCATTTTGTTGAGGGGATTGAGGGGTCAGAACTGAGTTTTGAGGAGGAACATGTGGAGGGTGGTGGAGGAAGTCGTGACGGTAGTCAGCGCACAGGTTGTTGCAGAGGCCCCAGTTACCATTTCTGAAACTATTTCAGCCTTACGTTGGCCAGGGCTTTCACCCGCAGAAGAAATACAGGCAAGGGAGCTGATAGGGAAGTATAGTCAAGTCTTCGCTAAACATGAGGGAGACCTAGGGTGTACTAATGAGATTGTACATGAGATTCCACTTCTTGATGAGGTCCCTGTCCGCCAAAGATATAGACGAATTCCCCCTACGCAGTGGCAGGCAGTTAAGGATCACATTAAGCAGCTGCTTGATAGTAAAGTCATCCGGGAGAGCAGCAGTCCTTATGCTTCCCCCATTGTGTTGGTGCGCAAGAAGACTGGAGAGATTAGGATGTGTGTGGATTACCGGCAACTCAATGCTAAAACTCGGAAAGATGCCTACCCACTACCCACCATCGGGAGGAAACTCTGGATGCTCTTGCTGGCGCTCAATGGTTCTCCACATTAGATCTGGCAAGTGGCTACAATCAGGTCCCTGTCGCTGAGAAGGATAGAGCCAAGACAGCCTTTTGTACGCCTTTTGGACTGTGTTTGAGAGAATGCCTTTTGGCTTGTGTAATGCTCCTGGGACTTTTCAGAGACTTATGGAAAGAATATTTGGTGACCAGAGCCTTCAGTCAGTCCTTCTCTATCTGGATGATGTCATTGTTTTCTCTACCTCCATAGAACAGCATCTGCAGCGGTTGGAGATGGTCCTCAGCAGATTCCAAATGAAAGGCCTGAAGGCCAAAATGAGCAAATGCCACTTCTTTCAGAAAGAGGTGCAGTACCTTGGACACCGGGTGTCCAGTGAAGGAGTGGCAACTGATCCAGACAAGATTTCTGCCGTGGAAAACTGGAGGGTACCCCGAGATGTGACTGAAGTAAGATCTTTCCTTGGGTTCTGCAGCTATTACCGTCGCTTTGTAAAGGGGTTTGCACAATTGGCTGCGCCCCTACATCAACTGGTGGCAAATGTCATCAGAGTAGCCAAAGAAAGCAGAAAAAGGCCAGCAGTTATACTGCCTACCATGTGGACGGAGGAATGCAATCACAGTTTCAGTGAATTGAAGAGGATGTTTACTAGTACACCCATCTTAGCCTTTGCCGACTTCACAAAACCTTTTGTCCTTGAGGTGGATGCTAGTCATCAGGGATTAGGAGCTGTACTGTCACAAGACCACCAGGGCAAATTAAGACCAGTGGCCTATGCAAGTCGTTCACTGAGGGGTTCAGAGCGCAACATGGAGAACTATAGCTCTATGAAACTAGAGTTCCTGGCACTGAAGTGGGCAATATCAGAGAAATTCAGGGAATATTTGTTGGGCAGTAAGTGTACACTGATAACAATCCCCTAAGCCATTTTCAGAACATTAAGCTGGGGGCCACTGAGCAAAGATGGGCAGCTCAATTAGCAGCTTTTGACTTCACTGTGCATTACAAACCTGGAAGAAACAATGGAAATGCTGACTCTCTCTCTCGCCAGTACAGTGACCAGGATGTGCCTCAAGAGCAGCCGAACCAACATGCCAACACCTCCTCAAATATTCCGCCTGACGTCGAGAAACCTGTGGTAGTGGCACAGCAGCAAATCGGAGTCTTCCCAAGCAGATCACCAGACGATCTGGCTACACTGCAAGGTGCTGACCTCACCATTGAAGTCTTTCTTTCATTCTGGAAAAGAGGAAAGCCACCAAATAAAAGAGGTTACTACTCTCAAAGGATGTCAAGCGTTTGTCCAGCAATGGGATCGCATTCTGGAAAAAGAGGGTGTACTGTATAGGCAGGTCACAGCCCCTCATGGGGAAGTCTATGCACAACTGCTTCTGCCCATGTGCCTGCACGAAGAACTTTTAAATAACCTCCACGACAAACATGGACACCAGGGGGTGCGACGGACCACTGACCTGGCCAGGCAGAGATGTTACTGGCCTGGTATGGGGGCTGATATAGAGAACCACTGTCGGAGTTGCCAACGCTGTGTATTGTCGAAAGCTGTCCAGCCTGGGGTGAAGACCTACCAGGGTACTCTGTTGGCCACCCAACCAATGGAGATACTGGCCATAGATTTCACCTTGCTGGAGCCTGCAACTGACGGTAAAGAGAATGTGCTGGTCATGACCGACGTGTTCTCGAAATACACGCAGGCGGTGCCAACTAAGGACCAGACTGCTCTCACGGTAGCGAAAGTCCTAGTCGACAGCTGGTTCAACCGGTTCGGCGTACCAAAGAGAATACACTCTGATCAGGGGAGAAACTTTGAGAGTGCCCTCATCCGGCAGGTTTGCCAGTTATATGGGATTGAGAAGTCCAGGACTACGCCATACCATCCACAGGGAAATGGCCAATGTGAGAGATTCAACCGGACACTTCACGACCTGCTCCGATCTCTTCCCCCGGAGAAGAAGCGTGTATGGCCAAAGTACATCTCCCAGCTAGTGTGGGCATACAACACCTCAGCACATCGCTCGACTGGGAATACCCCTTATAGCTTAATGTTTGGTGTGCCACCACGGGTCCCTGCAGATTTTCTCTTGGGAGAAGGTACCCCAGAAGACACAACCAGCTCCTGGGATGAGTGGGTCCAGCAGCATCGGGAACGGCTACAAGTAGCAAGAGACTTGGCACGAAATAACCTACAACAGGCAGCAGACTACCGACAGCAACATCACAACCAGCAGGCACGCGATGCAGGTTTTACAGAAGGACAGCTGGTCTACTTGAAGGATCATCAATGTAAAGGTCGTCGCAAGATCCAGGATGTCTGGTCACCAGTTCTTTATCTGGTGGTTAGAGTGCCCACTGAGTCTGGTGGGCCGTACACCATTACCAGAGCTGATGGCACTGCTGATGTTCGGCGGGTGCATAGGGCAGATGAGGGCAGCGCATCTTGAAATTCTACCATCTGCACCAATGACACTTAACCCATGTCTGTCGTCCAGCAACCAAGACATCCCTGCCAGTGACTCCGGCAGTAGTGAAGATGAAGAGATCCTGGGTTGGAGAAGTAAAGGAAGACCGGCATCAGCTCCCAGAAGAACAACCCGGGCTACTGCTGGAAGAAACCTAAACCCACTTAACCTTCCAAGGTCCACAGTGACTAGCAACAACGCAATGGGTGTGGTGAGGGCGGCTGCTCCCTTGGTGCCTGAAATGGTCAATGACCACTTGTTTAGACCCTGGTTGTGAGTAACTTGTCGTCGGGGCGAATGTGGGAATCTGACGTCATTGTCACCTGACGGTGTCACCTGATGCGGTCACATGTTTACACGGTGACCGGGTAAACAGGAAGCCATAAAAAGTTTGCCGTCAGTTCAAGAAAGTCTCTCTTGGCTGCCTGTCACTGGTCTTCTCCCTCTCACAAAGGTAGGAATAACAGTTTTAAGGTGGTTTTATGGTCTTTTAAATTAACTTATGCAAGTGGCTCATTTAGTTTGGTTTTATTAGGGCGAGTGCAAGACGAGATTTTGCCATTTACGGAGGGAAACTCTCCCGACAAGCACAAGACCGGGTCTGTTATGAGTAATTTGCTTTTAAATGGCGTTTTTAAACCGACGTTTTTAATTGTGTTTTAAGGAACTTATTTATGTGTTTTTACAGAGCTTAATGCACACAACCGGCCCAGCTACCTGGGATATTAAGTGACCATTTCCCCGGCAGGATTAAGCTGAGTTGGAAATCTACTCTGTGGAAGTATGCCTTGTTTTTAACTATTTCATTTTATATTGAGTTGGTGAATGAGGCTGGCAACTAACATGTTATGTTGTTTCCTTTTCAAAAGGACCAGGCCAGCCACTGTCCTATAGTGTTTCTTTTGTATTTTCTTGTTCATTTTCTTCATGGCATTTTCTTCGTATTGGCAGTATAATCATTGTATTGTTTGTGTTGTAGGTTGCGCTCCTCTGCGGTGTAGGCCTGGGCCCGGGTGGAACGCTGCCTGCCTTCAGTGTAGGGACTGCACGGTGTGACACTTTATTTTCTGTATGCTAAATATCTCACTGTTATTATTTTATAGAGATTGTGGTTTAAATATTGCATGCTTATGTTGTTTTGGTGTGTGGCTTTTCTTGTTTTTGTCCCTCACGATTAGCAGGCACTGCAACCCAGCGGACCGGGCCTGCCCAACTGAGGAGGGTAACTATATACATGTTGAATTATATTTGTATACTTTACATGAATTGACATTTTAAACAGTTTCCAAACACTTGTTAAATAAAGCTGTTATGTTTTTGGAATTCATGCCTCTGTAATAATTGAACCCATTTAGGGAAGCTTTAAAATCATTCCACGACTTACATTTAGGGTCCACGGGTTCCTCCTGCCCCTTAGCAGGAGGTGGCGTTGTCAGTGACTAGCTTTACATGTGGTAACCTCAGTCACGGTTACCACATGAAGAATCTCGTTTAATTTGGCATATTACTCTCAATGAATATAAGAAAGCACTGCGTAAAGCGAGAGCAGCCTACTACTCTTCATTAATAGATGAGAATAAGAATAATGCAAGATTTCTTTTCAGCACTGTAGCCAGGCTGACAGAGAGCCATAGCTCGATTGAGCCTTCTATTCCCATAGCACTCAGTAGTAATGATTTTATGTGCTTTTTTAACGATAAAATTGTTACTCTTAGAAACAAAATTAATGACCTCTTGCCTTTGACCAGTAAAGTGTTATCAACAGCTCCCGGAAACGTAAGTTCTAATATTACACTAGATAGTAAACTAGAATGCTTTTCAGCCATAAACCTTGAACAATTAAATTCAATGATTCTCTCTTCTAAACCATCAACGTGCATGTTAGACCCAATTCCAACTAAGCTGTTGAAGGAAGTTTTTCCATTAATTAGCACTTATTTATTAAATATTATGAATATGTCTTTATTATCAGGCTATGTTCCACAATCATTCAAAGTAGCAGTGATAAAACCGCTTCTTAAAAAGCACAACCTCGATCCAGAGGTTTTAGCCAATTATAGACCTATTTCCAATCTTCCGTTCCTCTCAAAAATTCTTGAGAAAGCGGTCGCAAAACAGTTGTGTGATTACTTAAAAAAACAATGATTTATTTGAAGCTTTTCAGTCTGGCTTTAGAACACATCATAGCACAGAGACAGCTCTGGTTAAAGTCACAAATGACATTCTAATAGCCTCTGACAAGGGACGTGTCTCTATTCTTGTTTTGCTCGATCTCAGTGCTGCATTTGATACTATCGACCATGATATCTTATTGCAAAGACTAGAGCACTTAGTTGGCATACAGGGAACTGCTTTAGACTGGTTTAGGTCCTATCTATCTGAACGCTCTCAGTTTGTACGGTCAATGATGAATCTTCCACGCAAACCAAAGTTAGCCATGGAGTGCCACAGGGCTCAGTGCTCGGACCTATTTTGTTCACATTATATATGCTTCCGTTAGGCAATATTATAAGGAATCATTCTGTAAACTTTCATTGTTATGCGGATGATACTCAACTATATTTATCAATCAAGCCTGATGAAATTAATCATCTAAATACAATTCAAGACTGCCTTAAGGACTTAAAAACGTGGATGACCTTAAACTTTTTGATGTTAAACACGACCAAAACTGAAGTTATTGTACTTGGCCAGAAGAATCTACGAAACAAATTATCTAAGGATATACTAACTATGGATGGCATTAATTTGGCCTCCAGTGAGACTGTAAGGAATCTTGGTGTTATATTTGATCAGGATTTATCCTTTAACGCCCACATAAAATCAATTTCAAGGACCGCCTACTTCCATCTACGTAACATTGCAAAAATCATGCATATCTTGCCTCAAAACGATGAGAGAGAAACTAGTCCATGCATTTGTTACTTCAAGGCTGGATTATTGTAACTCTTTATTATCAGGGTGTACCAAGAATTCAGTCAAGTCGCTTCAGCTGATTCAAAATGCTGCGGCTCGCGTACTAACCAGAGTTAGGAAAAGGGACCACATTACTCCTGTTCTGGCTGCCTTACACTGGCTCCCTATAGAACACAGGATAGAATTTAAAATTCTTCTTCTCGCCTACAAAGCCCTTAATGGGCAGGCGCCATCTTACCTTAAAGAACTCATTATACCCTACTGTCCTACTAGGGCATTGCGTTCCAAGAATGCAGGGTTGTTGGTTGTTCCTAGAGTCTCTAAAAGTACAATGGGAGCCAGAGCCTTTTCTTATTAAGCTCCACATTTGTGGAATCAGCTTCCAGTTTGTGTTCGGGCGGCAGACACCCTATTCGTTTTTAAGAGTGCGCTTAAGACCTTCCTTTTTGTTAAAGCTTATAGTTAGGGCTGATTAGATTCAGCCCCTAGTTTTGCTGATATAGACTTAGTTTGTCAGGGGACATCTTACTTCTCCTTATCTCTGTCTATACCTGTGTACTCTCATGTTCCGATTAACCCAGCTTCCCCAAATGTCTTCTTTTTGGTGTCTATATACGCCGGGATCCGGAGTCATGGATGATCCTGCGCTCCTCTGTCCTGGATCGCGAGCCCTGGATCTTGAGTCATGGCTGTGGTCCTGGATCATAGGTCCTGGATGGATATCCTCGTAGATTCATCTTCCTAATACACACATGCATTTCCAAACATTTGGACTACCTATGTTGCAAATGTATTATCTTTTCAATTTACACACGGCATCTATTGCACGTCTGTCCGTCCTGGGAGAGGGATCCCTCCTCTGTTGCTCTCCCTGAGGTTTCTCCCATTTTTCCCTTTAAAACTGTGGGTTTTCTTCGGAAGTTTTCCTTGTACGATGTGAGGGTCTAAGGACAGAGGGTGTCGTATTGTCATACTGATATTTTGTACAAATTGTAAAGTCCACTGAGACAAATGTAACATTTGTGATATTGGGCTATATAAATAAACATTGATTGATTGATTGATTGATAAACTCAACTGTATTATTTTACCCTTTCGTTCTTGTCAGGGATTTGCGACACGTTTCCTCTCTATCTTCACACTTTCAAACAAATAGTCATCCTCTCCTTTGAAGTGTTGCATATGTTGTCCTTTCCCTCCCTGGAACATGCACTGAGTATCTTCTTGGCAACTCTTGACACACAATGCTACACTCAAGGTCAGTTTGGTCTCCCTGGCAACAGTGCAATACATTTGGCGCATTGTCCGGCTATTTAATCAAAACTGGCTCAATGTGTGTCAGATGAACATGGACATTTCTTTTATCGCTAAAACTGCTGAGTGAGTCGGACACCCCTCCCGAAAAGTACAAGGGGACAGAGAAGGGGACGGGATGTGTTTTGAGAGGGGGAGAAAGTGAGAGTCAGAATCTTATAGAACGTCACTGCGCCTGTTCGAAGTCCTTGGTGATGCCTTTGTATCGATCAGGCTGTACCATGGTCACCCACAGTAAATCTATTCACAGATGACCGCTGCGGCTCAAATGCTTTTGGATATAGGGCACCAAGAGAATAAACAGAAACATTCTGCCAACTGATTTTCAATCCACTTAACCTCACCACTCCTCATCCGAACAATAAGAGGGCAGAGACAGGGACAGAGGAACAACGGATGGGAGGGGGGGAGAGGAGGGGAGTAATTTTGCATCTCATCTGTTGACAGTCAAGCATGTTGTTATCATTGTTTGCTGCCCTCTAGTTTATCTCCCTCCAGAAGATAGTGGGCCGCTCCTCGTGACTATAGGGCCAGACAACCAATTATCTATGTGCCCTCTATCAGATGTGATTTATATCACTAGGCTGTCCCTACTCCTCTGTCCCCTCTCCGCATGTGATCAATCATTCCCTGCCCAAACACAAAACAGGCCTTTAACAAAACATACAGTTAATGTTCTGCATTGCCTGAAAAGGAGACTAGTGATATCAATCTGCTTAGATCTTTACAGAAATAAGGCAACTCTGACATTGAGAGGGAGCACAAGGTGGTGAAACACTAAATGCTGAATGTTTTATCCAAAACCTAAATTAAAAAAAGAATACACAGTTAAGGTCCATGTCATCTCAATCCGCTCATATTTGTACCAACCTAAAATATTGTACTTTTTTATATTTGAGACCTTGGTGACACCTGTGATTACTGGTGGCAACAGCCAGCGAGTTTTATTGCTGGAAAGTCCTGTTTGAAATAACTGATTTAATTGACATGTGCATTGGCGTAAGAAATACAACACAATATCAACTTGTGTATCTGTTTAATAGACAGCTAAATGAACATTGGGATGGGAGGATCCATTGCATGGCATTGTTTAAATGAGAGATAAAGTCAATTATTGTCATTTCTCCATCAGGCCTGTATTAAAAATCGCAGAAGCAGCCTTTTGCCTAGAGCTCATCATTAACAGCTCACTGTTTATTTTTATTATGATAATCCTTTGAAATGAATACATGATGCACTGGCAATTATTGCCAAAAATGCAGATTTCTTGTTAAGAAGATGCATCAGCAACGCTAAACTGATAAATACTCTGCATTTCCTCAGGCTGCTTCAAACAAGAAGACACTCCGTGGTTTACCAGTTTACTGCTTAATGTGAAACTGCAGCAGCAGAAAGTGTTTGGTTTGCGTTAGCAGTAACTTAACACAGCTCCGATCCAGCTGATAGCTATCACTTAACAGAAAGGAATTATCAATTACATTGCAACGACTGGGAAAGTTAGTACATGCCTGCATGTTTCCTGTATTCCTCTTTTTAGTGTGTGTGTGTGTGTGTGTGGGTGGTGTGTGTGTGTGTGTGTGTGTGTGTGTGTGTGTGTGTGTGTGTGTGTGTGTGTGTGTGTGTCTGGCAAAATTATCTCTATTTCAGGATCTCACATGAAGGGAGATTTATATCTCCCCATTTTCTATTTTTCACTATCCTGTAAATTGCAAAAAATAGGTTTAATATAGTTAAAATCTTGCAAACTTACAATAACACATTTTGTTTGGCCACTGGGAGGCAGTAGAAACAAGCACTAGACACAATATGGACATATTGTCATAACAATTAGCTTGTTAGAAAATAGTTTTCTATTTACACATCAAGCAGTTGTGAAGCAACATCAGCAGCATTGGTTTGCAGTTGTGTTTTAATTTGGTTTATCTGGTCTATACCAACTCCTGAGGGAAATAACTGTCTCTTTAGCCGCTCAATATTCCCCAGCTAAAGCTTATAGCTGTAATACTTAAATAAGCTTATATAATGATCTTTGACGTTCAACCATTTATAATATAGAAATTCTTTATATCTCTATAAGTTACTTATAATTCCAT